TAGGGGTTTTATGGTTTAGGGTTTAGGGTTTAGGGTTTAGGGGTTTAGGGTTTAGGGTTTAGGGTTTTGGGATTTAGGGTTTAGGGGTTTAGGGTTTAGGGTTTAGGGGCTTAGGGTTTTAGGGTTTAGGGGTTCTATGGTTTAGGGTTTACGTAGGGTTTAGGGTGTACTTGGAGGATCATGGCACTTAGGAACTCGGGTTGTGACTAAGGTAAATGCAGATATAACCACAAATAGGGCACTTATAAGTTTAGTAAGTAAGGTTATAAGTACCCTAATTGGGGCTATACTTATATATAGTTACCTTATTTCTAACCCTATAGCTACTAAGTCCCATGATCCGAGGACCTCCTAGGGTTTCGGGCGCACCTTCTTCCGGGACTCTTAGCCTCGAAGGAATAGCAAAGAGCAGAAGAAAGAGAGAAAGGCAGACGGAGAGGGGGAGCGAGAAAAAAAAACAAAAAGCAGCGAAGCAGAGAAACAGAGAGAGAGAGAGAGAGAGATTTGAAACAAAGAAACAAACAACTAAACCCTAAACATCCCTAAACCCTAAGAAAGAGAGAAGCCCTTCAAGCTCTCGGCTTCGGGTCTTCCGCTTGCTCTTGGCTCCGGGCAGTCTTGCTGTCCCAGGGATCCGGCATAGCACGGCAGCAGGGGCACTTAAACCCTAAACCCTAAACCCTAAACCCTAAACCCTTAGCTTCTAGATCTCTGCTTGGATGCAGGCTCGAGCTATCTGGGCCCGCGGTTTCAGGGCTCCGGGCGTTGGGTAAGGACCCCCATAGTTCCCATGTCATGTCTGGGGGGGGTTTAGGGTTTAGGGTTTAGGGTTTAGGGTTTAGGGTTTAGGGGTTTAGGGGTTTAGGGTTTAGGGTTTAGGGTGGGTGCGGTTGAAGATGCGGACTTCGCAGCTCAAGGCCCTAAGTGCTAAATGTTTTGGGGTGGAGCTTTGGGGTCTAAGGTTCGGGGAGGGCCCAGACTTCACCCTCTCCGTTCATGAGGCGGAGACATCTGCAGTCAGAAGGCAGCAAGGGGCTTGGCTTTGCGCATGCATTTAGGGCTTAGAGGTTTAGGGTTTAGGGGTTTAGGGTTTAGAGGTTTGGGGGCTTAACTGCTTAGGGGAATTAAGGCTGTAGGGTTAAGAAATGATTTACGTATCAGGGCGCGGGGTCTTGGATTCAGCAGCTTGGGGGTTCTCAATTAGGTGTTAGCAAAGGTTCAGTGAACTCATCAGGGCATTCATCCTCAAACCCGTCTCCTCATGGTACTTCTTCAGGTGGTTTGCGAAACTGGTTTCAGGAACCTGCTGCTACGACATTGAGGGTTGCAGGGACCGTTTCAATGTCAACAAGACCCCTCCAACTGGGTTCTTGTGTTCCCTGCAAAACTACAGTCTAAACCCTGAAACCTAATGCCAGGTTCAAGGTGAGCAGGAGTCCGAGGTACCCCTATATTCGAGAGTGATTGCTTTCATAATCAGAATAGGGTTTTGGGGCAGGCCGTACGATAGTTATACTATAATAAGGGAACCTCCCAAAATAGTACTGGTAATTATTTAGGCCCCTAGTTATATTTGTCTGTCAGTGTTCCCCGACCCGAAACCCAAACCTGCAGAACTGCGGAAAACCTGAACCCTTTACAAGTTCGAGCTCAGGCTGGCATGAAGTGATCTAGTAGCTTCAGAGGAGAAGGAGCCGAGACGCAGACCCTAATACGGTACCTTACACCCCAAGCCCTACCATGCAGAAGCTGAACCCCTAGTTAGCCCTAGTTTAAAGCTGCATCGGGGCGTGGGATCTTGGGATAGATCCCTGCCACGAGGAGGATCAGAGGACACGACAACACTATTCACATCCCCAAGCTCTCTTCTACGTACAACCACCAATAAATCTTGAAGTCCCTGGTTGATGCCCCCCAAACCATAGTCCGTAAATCCCAAACCTATCCTTTAAACCCTCTACTCTAAACCCAAAACCCTAAACCTCAAAACCTAAATCCTCCACTCTAGACCGTCCCGAAAGCACGGAGCGACCCAGAGCCAAGCTGCCCGGGACCTTGTCGAACTTCCTGAAATGCAAGCCCTGCTCCTGCAGCTGCGGCGCCTGACTGGGGCAAAACAGCAGCAGAGTTCTTTGTGCTACTTGTACTGTCTGCATCGTCCGAAACTCGCACCCACTTCCCTTGGCACCTCTTTCTGGAGCTGGATCAGCCTCGCAAAAGGACAAAGTCTCAAAAGGGCATGAGGCTTAGGGTGTGGGGTTTAGGGGTTGGGTTTTGGCTAAACCCCAAACTCTAAACCCTCCAAAACCTGTTGCAAGGCACGGCTAGGTGGTCTGAGGTCAATGGCAGACGATGGGCGGTTCTTTGGCAAGGGCATGCACTGGCTTTAGGATCAGGGTGTAGGGTATTTGGGTTCAGGGTTTAGGGTCTTTCGGCACGATCATATCAGGACCTCCTGCTAATCATGAACCGTAGTTCGGAACCAGCACCAGGCACCATGCTCAGCAAGCAATTGCACCTTCCGAGGTCCTTGTCGCAGCGTTCGCCAGAATGTCGAGAAGTCTAGCTGTAATGTTTATCTCGAAAGCCGGGCCTTCGTTAATCGAAGTCGTCCCAGTCAGGAAATCTCACGCCCGGACGGTTCACATCGTAACCCCCTCGAGGCCATGTGCACATGTTCAAACACTTCCGGTACGAGAAGTCTATGACTGTGCCGTCTGTGCGCATAGCGTGGAAGCATGGGCTTACGTAAGAAGTCCTTGCAACGTATATTTCACGCACTCCACGTCCGATCTTGCTGCTGGCATTCGGATGCCTTCGCAAAACGGACATCATGAAGTCAAAGTCTGACCCCCGCAAGAATCTTCTGGCACGCTGCTCAAATGGGAGTTCAGCAGCATACTGATGCAAGAGCCTTTGTGCTCTGTCTTGACTGTCCAACACGAAACGTTGCTCCTGCTCTCTCTGCTGCTTGCGCCTCTGCTCTTCTAGTTTTGCTTCGTGAATCTCTCTTCGCTTCCTACCAAGCTCCTTTGCCTGGATCCTGTGTGGCAGTACAGCGCGCTTGAGATAAGCTTGAAAGCATAAATCCGTGAGCCGGTGCCAGGCTTCTACTCCCTTCTGTGAGCGAATCTCGTATCCACAGGCAGCTGCTTTGCGCAAGGCGAGAAGACATGCCAAGTTGTCACCAGTTCGTTCTATGGCAGCGAGCTCTTCGTCTGTGCAGTCCTTGATTGCTAAAGTCTTTTTGCTGATCAGCCCCAGGTTGACCAATTGCTCTAAGAGTGTATCCGCCGTCTTTGCATGGAGTCCGAAGCCTCGCAACAAGAAGCTTCGCACGCGGTTCCGCAGAACATCTACGTCTTGTTGCGACTCCTCCCTCACAGGCGACAACCTCAGAACAGTCAGTGCTTGCAGGCCATCACGAGGAGTCTGCCGTGGAGGGCATATTTCAGGCGGAGCGCAGATTTCACGTGGGATGAGCTGCAAAAGCGGCTTGCGATCGGAGACCCATGGGTCTTCCAAAAGTTTTTTTACAGCAAAAGAATTCTTGTCAGCCGCTGTGAAACATCGCTTCACGAAGCAAGCAGCCTCTGTGGACATAAGCGGCAACAGGCTGGGCAAATTGCCGCCTTGGATGTGGGCAATGAGAGCGTAGTGGGGCTCGTAGGGGAAAGCCACAGACGGATCATAAACCTGGTGATCACCTTTGAGCATTACCAGAACACACACAGCCAGTGCGTGTACATCACCGGCATGAGAGAATTCGCCCCTCAAGGCAGCAGCGGACATATACATGGGGGTCCCCTTCAAGCCCGACTGTGAGGTCATGGATTGCTGATGCCTTGCAAAACCAAAATCCGCGAGTTTTGCACCGTGAGGAGCTAGCAGTATGTTCTCAGGCTTGATGTCGCGGTGCACGACGGCCAGTTCCTGGCCGGGAAGCCAAATCTCACAAACCCCCAAGCTCTGGACACGATGCCTGCTTCCCTATATAACAAGCCATTCATCCCACCAACACGCGCCTCTGAACTTCCAAAAGCAAGTCATATGACATCTTTTATACTTCACTCGGCAGCCCGAAACCCTCAATCCATGCACCACTACACCCCCAAACTCTAACCCCAAGCTTTCAACCCATCTCCTGTGCATGGCACAGCGCGCGGAGAACATCCAGAACGACCTCAGCAACCCGGTCCTCGGTCATGGCGCCATGCTTCGCAAGATACTCCGCCACGGAGCCTGGGGAACAGGAGCTCGTTCCTGAACCTTAAGCAACCTACCTTTCTGGGGCTCCTTCTTGTGATTTCCTTACAAAGTCCTCAAAAAGGAAACAGGTTTTGTTTAGGGCCCGGATCTGGGGTTCAGGGTGGCTTTCAAAGCTTCAGGATGTTTCGGGGTTGCTTTGGGAGGTTCAGGCTACTAGGACCCTCATGGCTAAGCTATCATACATCCCAAACCCTAAACCTTAAACCATACCTCAAGCCATAGCGAAGTAAAGCCCTGAACCCTAAAAACAGCATAAAATTCCCGGGGCTCAAGATTGGATTGAGGAGTCTGTGGGAATTGCCATTGCCAACCTGAAGTTTGCATCCGCTCCCCCCATCGGCGGGCCTTGTGGCATAGCTTCCAGAACCAGCCAGGTGTAGCCACGGTGTTTGACGACGTGATGCAGCTTCACCACTTGAGGGCAGTCTGACATCTTCCGCAGCGCAGCTTCCTCCTTGGCTGCAAGTGCTGTGGTGCTCACGCGCTTCACAGCTACCGCCTCGCGCGACATTTCACCGGCGAAGACATCTGCTTGACCTCCGGCACCGAGTGGCTTATCCAAGAATACCATGACCTTGGAACCCTCACCCTCAACTGGAAGGATTTCGATAAACCCTCGTTGTGAAGCCCACTGGCGCAAGGCCGTCTTCAGCTGCCCCTTACGCAATGCGGGGATGCTCAGCGGTGTCAAAAACTCATCTGCTGCCGCATCGAGATCACTTGGAGAGAGCACCTCGAGGTCTGATACCGACAGATCTTGCTGGGCGACACTTTCCAAGAAGGCACCCCAAAGAGACGCATCGTATGCTTCCCAACCACTCGGCGCTGATTCCATGAGGGATCGCTGTACCCGGGGGAAAGTCTACTGACTTGCGATGCAGGTCAGATCATAGAGGTGTTGAGCCCTTGTGTCGGCGGAAATGTCCACTGAGCCTTCTCATGAAAGGTGGTGTACTGAGTTTTGTTCTGCTTCAGAAACCGTGCAAGCACAAAGTAACACAAGAACGGCATACAAAAAAAGACAGCGGCGCTACAGCTGAGGGGTAGACTCCTTCTGCACGTCGCGCAGGCGCATGAACTCGTCCTCTGTACGCCTCTTCAGCAGCACAAGTGCAACCTAACTCGTTCAAGCCTGAAGCCTCAACCCTTTCGCCCTGCGGCCGCCCCCAATACCCCAACACTCCGAAAGCCTTAAATCCAAAACCCGAAAAGCTCCTAAACCTGAAACCCTAAACCCCAAAAGCCCCTAAACGTGAAACCCAAAATGCCCTAAACCTGAAACCCAAAATGCCCTAAACCTGAAACCCAAAATGCCCTAAAGCTGAAACCCAAAATGCCCAAACCCTAAACCTGAAACCTGAAATGCACGCCACAACCCCATGGAGGCCTCACCAGTTCGGCTTCTGTGCGCTGAGCGGCCGTGGCGCTTCGCTCGACCTGCTGAGAACCAAAGCTCCTTTGAGTCTTAGGGCTTAGGATTTAGGATTTAG